TGTATAGTATAGTTTGTCATTCATCAATGTTACTAAAAATAAATTTGAGACAATGTGGCAACAGCGTAGCAGCAACACAGCAACATCAGAACAGAAGACAAACATCTCAATGGAAATATATAGTTCATATGCAGACAGCTGTTATACTTTAATGTAATTTGTTCTATGTCCTTTAATAAGATAATAATTGTCGCAGCAGTTATTTGAATTTAATATTGAAGGTAAGAGGTAAACAATGCATTGTTTGTCCTCTACCCTGCACCGCTACCATGTGGTTGTCCAGAAGCTCTGTCCATAACTGTGTGATATCAATGACAAACTGTGCTATACTAAGCCTTTGGTACACAAAGAGGCATCATGGCCAGTACTGCACTCGGCCGCATTCACTTCCCCAGGTTGTAAACTTGGGTACCCATTTACAGCTGGGTGGACTGCGAGCGCCCGGGATCGAACTGCCAACCCTTGGAACAGGAGGCAAGCGCTATATCCACTCAACTGCCACATTCCTTACACAACACTAAAATCACTAACAAAAAATAAAATAAATGTACAATACAAGTCTTCATCTCTTTAGAATAAAATTAAGAGCTTAACCACAGACGACTCTAATGTTCACATACTGAAAATCTTCATTTACTTTGAACATTCTAACCTGTGCCAGGTGATGGAGTCGGGGATGACTGGATGGACAGGTGCCGTGAGACCGGCAGATCTCTAGGTCTTCCGAGTTTACCGCCAAGTCTCACTAATCCAGAAACAACCTTGCTGGCCCTGGTAGTTCCTTGATTGTTACTAACACTACTGTTAGTGCTGCTACTATCACAACCACTTGTTCCTTCACCTCTACTGTTGCTCAGGCTATTGCTGAAGATCACAGCAGCTGTAGTTCCAAATATTGTAAAATTATAATACAGGTTTTGGCTTCTGCAGTAGCAATACAGTATTTACAAATGAGATTTTTACATTAATTTTCAACTACAATATCAAAACCTGTATTTAAATAAAAACCACTCCTGGCTTTTACTAAATTTGTACATATTATGGACAAATTTAAGGGTAATCTTAGAGCATTAAGCAACAACAATGAAGCATTATCCCCAGGTCTGAATTCATTCAATGCCATTCAGTGTAACGCTTTACCATAAACAAAAAATACAGAAAAATTAAATTTCACAGTACATAATGGGAATGGAAGATAAGCATATTGATACAGTACATGCAGATAATACAAATCTTAAAGCTGTCTTAGCATGAGACTTTCAGGTACTGCACTTAGAAAAACAATGAAAGAAGCACTACATGCTTGTAGTAAACAGAGAAGCCTTATGCCCACCTCCCAATGACAATCAAGCTGCCCAGATATTCTAAAGTAATATATATAATGTGATGAATTCCTACCACACTACAGTACAGTATTCTTAAAGTTAAACAAATTGAAGGATAAAAAATATAATATTTTCTACTTACCATCAAGAGGATCAGTAAAAGCATTGGGGGATGATAACCTCCGTAATGAACCTGTATTATGTGAAATTTGTTCCGATGTCTTTTTAGAAGCAACGTGTTGTTGTGTACGAGGAACACTAGATGATCTTGTAAAAGTAGCAGATGGTGCTACTGGCTGGGGGCCACGATGGACATCCGGTCGACCTCCAACAGTGGGGATGTGATGTGGAACTGTACTTGAATATCCAGCTGGTCTTGGAAACTGCTACAAAGTAAATATTAATCAGATTCAATTTATTTGAATTCATTACACTGTATATTCCATAAAAAGTTTCCCCACTATCCAGCGGTGTGTCATATACATGATTTCCAGGCAATTATATCTTTACATAATTCAATATAGTCTTTACTAAGGGTGCCTCTCTAACATATACAGTAGGATCTCTAGTTTAGTGATTTTAGTTTTACATTTCATGTGTTTCGGGGCACTTAAAATTTCCAACTTCTCATGATTAACGATTTTCATTGCCGGTTTTGCGAGTCGAGGGAGAGTGGGCAGCGCACATTAATGAAGTCCTTTTGTTAACCGCTGTCTTTTTTGTTTACGGCAGTTTGAATGAGCGAGAGAGAGTGGCGCAGTGACCTTGGATTATATAACCCATTGTGCTTACATTTTGCGAGATTCTTGTATATTAACGATGAGTGAGGTGCATAATGTAAATGTAGGGAGCGGTTCTGGTGGTAATGACGGCCACAGAGAAGGTGAAGATGACAGTCGTCCTGGTCAACAAGGAAAGCCCCATGCCAAATTTTGACAACCCTAAGGGGGTCAAGAAGAGGAAATACACCCTTGAAAAGAAACAAGAGATGCCCAAGATGATAAAAAATGATGCTCGTACCTGTGAAAGCGTGCGTAGGTTCAACTGCCCATAATCTACCATACGTTCCCTTAAGAAGAACAAAAAACCTTAACTGCTTCTGTGACTGTATCTCAAGATTTTCTAGCAACAGGATGTTCTCCAATACTTCTCAACGAAACCTACTGCTTGTTATCACAGAACATTACCTTCACAAGTGGGTGGAAAGAAGAAACCGTGAGCAGGGCGACCTGTCTGGGCCACAGATAAGGCATCAAGCACATGTTTATTATGCTGCAGTTGCACAGAAGAACCGCGATAACTCTCCACCACCGTTCAATGCTTCTCTTGGTTGATTGGATGCTTTTAAGAAGCGTTATGAAGTCAAGTTTGCCCACTACCATGGGGAGAGTGCATCAGCTGATGTTGTAGCAGCAGAAAAATAACTATATGTCCTTCAAGCTCTTGTGAAAGAGGGTGGTTAGAACCGAGACCAGATCTTTAATTGTGACAAAACTGGTATTTTCTGGAAGAACTCACCTGAGACCACTTTCACTGACAAGGATGAAAAACAGACAAGGGGTGTAAAGACTTCAAAGGACAGGATTACAGTTTTATTTACAGCTAATGCAAGTGGAGATTCCTTGATGAAACCCCTGGTTGTTAACCGTGCTGCCCATCCTAAAGCCTACCATCATGGCAATATGTTTATTGGACATCTAATAAAAAAGCTTGGGTTACAGCGTTTTTATGGACCAATTGGTTTGACAAGCACTTTGTTCCTGATGCCCAACAGTATTGCCAGAGGAAAAACATTAACTTCAAAGTGATCCTGGTGATGGATAATGCTCCTGGACACTAATGTACAAGTTATCTTCCTTCCTCCTAACACCACATCGCTTCTGCAGCCACTTGACCACGAATTCATCAGTAACGTTAAACTGTTCTACTATCAGTCAATCTATAAAGACTTTCCTTTCGTCAGCAGACAGACTCATTAGTCGAGTTGCAACAAATTGAGGCAGTACCCAGGCTTTACCACCAGCACCAGCTAACCAGGAGGAGGAGATGGTAGACGACCTGACTCCTAGTACCTTACACGCACCACTGCACAACCATGAAGTGTTATCAATTTGTGAATTTTGGAAGAAATATGACATCAAAAATGCAGTGGACAGAGTTGTTGAGGCATGGCGTAAGATTAATATTGTAACAGTGCTACATGCGTGGAAGACTTCGTTCGCTAACCCCGAGGTAAGTGAGGCTGAGCAGACCAAGGCAAGCGGGGAGAGGCAGTCTGTGGTGGCAACACTAATGGACACAGTGGAGGCAGCGCGGTTAGTCCCAGCCAGCACCAGGATTTTGGGAAGTTCAAGTTGAAGATTTGCAAGAAATCATTCGTCAACATCAGCAGCAACTGACAACTGAAGAAATGTTGGAGGAGGAATAAGAAGAGCAACAAGCAACACAAGAGGATTATGATAAGCCTGGTGAACCTACAACATGCCAGCTGACTAACATGCTCACAACCAGCGCACGTTTCGGTGAACAGCTACAAGAATATGATACCAAGCCTCAAGCTCATAACCATATTTGCCCTGCCATTGATAATGTTATGGAGGAATATAAGGCCATGTACAATAGCTAAAAAAAGTATCTGACAGGGTGAGTCCGATGACTTCCGAAATTATACGTACAACTCATGGTGTCTCGGGAGGGTTGGTATGCGTGTCTTCATCCACCACCATTCAGTATCCAATACAGAGAGTGAGTTGGCATATAGGAAAAAACAATCAGTCAAGTGATTACTCTCTTATAGTAAAAGGAGACAACTCGCATATCCCAATACCTATCGTCCATGGTCTCATATTGTTTCACACAGAGTATGCACAGATACTTTTTTTTAGCAACTGTACATGTCCTGTGTTAATGCTCTTCAGCAGGCCCTTATTACTCGGAACCTGCACAAGGCCTAATCTGTAAATGCCTTAGCAAACATCACTTAAAGAGGAGATGATGATGATGGCACCACTGAAGATATTGAAGTGTTGGGTGACTTACTGGTGGAAGAGCTACCTCAAGACTTTGAGGGATTTGATGATGAAGTTAGAGGAGGTGTAGAGGAAGGAGCAGGGAGGAAGCAGTAACCAGCCCTTCCTGCCTCGTAACCCATCAACCAGCCCCGTCAAGCATTTCACTAACTCCATCAAGGTAAGTTACTCTACAGTATGAGTGTATATAAATATTTTTATAAAAAATACGTACAATATAAATATGCATGAATACATTACAGTAATGTAATTTTCTGGGTGGCTTAATTACATGTACAGTATTTCAGGGTCACCCGTTTGGCAATTTTGCATTTCACGACGCTAAATCAGTACCAATTAGTCACTAAACTTGAGATCCTACTGTACTCAGTTCTTCCTCTGCTTTTCTTATTATCTCCCTAACTGGACATTTTCCTAAATATTCAAATTTATTTACAATTACAGTACTGTCCTACACCAGTCAAATAGACAAAAAAGATCGCATAATCTACATACTTTAGGATTACGAAGATGAAGTGCCAGTTGTATGATGTACTGAACATCAGCAGCAGCTGGGTACCGCATGAGAAACTTTAAGCACGTAGTGTAGTCACCTGCCAATACTGGTTAAAGATACAGTATTACTAAATTAATTTTGAACAGATTCTAATAGCTTCAATGAAAGTCCTCCAACACAGAGACAAAATAATATAGTATTCATTTTAACTTGAGCCAACGTTATTACAGGTATCCCTCGTTTAACGATTAGTATGCGTTCCTGAAAACCGATTGTTAAGCGAAATGATCACTGAACGAGGAATAACGAAAAATAAGATCCTAAACAAGGGCCAACGCAGAATAATATCTGTGGAGAAGACACATAATTGTGTAGCTGAGTCACTGACTCGCCACCCAGTAGCATTCAGAGTGGGTGAGGCTGAGCTGTGAGCTATGTTATTGTTTAACTCGTAATTCTGGATACATAGATATTGTACAATGTATGTAATTTCCTTCATTTTCTTTTACTGTACTCTGTTACATGAACATACAATTGTTCATATAGAATTAAAAAAAAAAAAAAAAAAAAAATTATATATATATATATATATATATATATATATATATATATATATATATATATATATATATATATATATAGATATATATATATATATATATATATATATATATATATATATATATATATATATATATATATATATATATATATATATATATATATATATATATACATAGTTAACCTCGCTACGGTTAATGTAACCTGAGGGTCCCATGTGAAAGTGAGAAACGCGAAAGTGAATAACATAACATAAGGGATTATTTTGAAATGGGAGTCCGGCCGATCTCAAACCTCTTTTTGACTATTAACGTTAACTATGTTGTAGTAAAAATATTATCTTAACTTTATGATGGTATGCACACACAATTAATAATTAAGAGAAATATCAATAATATTAGGTTTTTAACACTTACATTAGTAGAAAAAATGGCTGGGCACACGGGGATGGGCGGTTGGTTCCGAGGCAGAGGGCAGATTATTGGCCCTCACCTGTGTCACTTGTATCAATTGTATCACTATCCACCACAGAGGCTTGCTGGGCCTCTTTGTCAAACTCCCCAAAGTCCATATAAGTCCATATCCTCACCATAATTATCACTATCACTGACTTGGGCCGGCTGTGGTGGGTGGCGGGTGAAGAACTGGTAATGTTTTGATGACTGGGCGACCTTGTGCGCACCATATTCGCGCCGCTTACACAACATGGCGGATGGCGGGAGGTTTGGATCCAAAAATGGCGCGGCTCGCCAGCCGCTCTCCGCGTAAAGAGGTACACGCACCGTGGAATGTGAGCATCCTGGGTTCCGGCAGGGCACCGCGTAAACGTGGAAACGCGGAATGTGGGGGTTAACTGTATGTATATATATATATATATATATATATATATATATATATATATATATATATATATATATATATATATATATATATATATATATATATATATATATATATATATATATATATATACATACATATACATATACACACCTAGACCCCGACTTACGACGGGGTTAGGGACCCAAATCCAGGTCGTAAGTCCGACATAGATAAAAAAAAAAATAAAAAAATCTACAATGAAATACAGTACAGTAAAAGTAATGAATAATGATGAATGGATACAGTACAGTGAAAGTAATAAATAATAAGGAATGGATGCAGTGTGACTGAGCACTTAACCTTTAATGTAGTCAGCTGAATGCACATGGGGCCCCCATAATTTTCTAATTATACATGGAGACTACATTAACTGGAAACGTTTCGGTATAGAAAATGCGTGTCATTAAAATTTTTTTTTTTAATCTATATCTGAGGCGGTCATAAATCCCGACGGTCGTAAGTCCACGTAGTCGTAAGTCGGGGTCTAGGTGTATATCATTTACATATATATATATATATATATATATACATATATATATATATATATATATATATACAGTATATATATATATATATATATATATATATATATATACAGTATATATATATATATATATATATATATATATATATATATATATATATATATATATATATATATATATATATATATATATATATATATATATATATATATATATATATATATATATATATATATATATATATATATATATTCTGTATATATATATATATCTAGTCTGTACTCACCCCTGAAGATGTGAATTACACGAAAGCGCTTGGGAACTTCGTGTTTTCTTCTTTCCTTGTGGTTATCAGCATATACCTAGATCACGCCGGTAAGCGTTCCCTAGTCACACCCAGTAGGTCGAGGGTTCGATTCCTTGCTGGTGAGGTCGTTGATTATATGTTCAAAGTCCGCGTGTTATATGGACTAAAAATGAAGTATATATATGTACAGTTGAAAAACTTTTTTATGAAATGTAGTACAGTACTGTACACTAATGTACAAATTTTTTTATCTCCTGAGCAAAATATATGACGTTTATTTTCAAATTATTGGCTGTCTTGCAAGGATTCCAGCAATGCAAATTATAATCTCCTAACTTTAGTCTGAGATATTATATAAGATAAAACTGTAAGCCTAAAAGCCTGGCTGGGGGGGACTGACGGCTCCACCACCCAGCGAGGGGTTGGGGGGAGGTGTGGGGGGGGGGTTGAGGTGATAAGTTTGAGGCGAAAGTCTCTGTGTGTTTATTTAACAGTCCTACTAAGCTTCTCTCAATTTAAAATGCCAGTGATATGACCTAGGAAAATATATTTAACATAGCTGGGATTCTTGTAAGATACTGATTTATTTGAATATAAACATGTTGTAATTCGCACTAGACATAACAATTTTAGTATCGTAATCAAATTAGTACTTTAGTCTGAGATATTATATACAATAAACATAAAGAAATCACCAATCTTTTATCTTGAACACAGGGAGGGTGGGAAGACGGAAGGGGGGGAGGGGTGACAGAACGTCTGGCGTTTGTTTGTTTATTTATTTATTTGAGATAAGATTTGACAGTTGGCGCTGAAGGCCTGTGTTTATTTATCATTACTTAAGAGTGACTAAGCTCTTCTCATAATTTTCCACCCAAACGACCTGGGTGAATTTAACTTACATTGGAGGGATTCTTGTAAGATAGTAATTTATTTGAATGTTTTTTTTTCAATTTAAATTTTAATTATTTATTCCTTGATAGAGGAAGCGGGATCCTAGTGCTGTCACTTGATACCCCTGTACCATAACACCAGAAGCAACTGGCCAGTGTCACAAGTATATACAATCATCCCTTGGTTATCGCGCCTAATTGGGACCCCGCCGATAACGAAAGTACAGAACCTATGGGGTTTATTCTAATTGGTTCCAGGCACCCAAGACCCAACCCCAAGTTTCCCATTTTACGACCATTTATACCCACTAAATATATATATAATGTTATGGTAAATATCATAAACACACATAGGCATGGCTAGGTTTATGACAGTGATGAAAAGGGTACGCTTAATACTGTAGTCCACAAAACATGTAGCTATGCTTTTTTTATTTGGTCCCCCGTCATACGAGTCCGTTTTCTCTCACATCAGGACGCCTGAGTCCTCCGTTTTTCTCTCTTAATCTTAGAGTGCACGAGAAACTTTACTATTTTTCGTAATGCCACAGAATTTGAAATTACAACCCCAATTGCAACTTGCAATTGTTGAGGCAACTAGATATGTCTGATTACAGCAAATGTGTTATTGTCAATTTGTAGGTGAAAGATTTTCTCCTCAATAGATGTAGGTTAACATATCACCTGTTGGCAAATGCTTAGAAAAGCCTAAGTAAGGAAGCATATTCCTTTAACACATAATATCTGACCAGTATGGGGAGGATCATCCTGTCTCCGTCAGGGGTCAGGGGGTCGTGGAGTGGTGGTCGAGCAGGCGTCACTTTTTGGGGGGGTGGGGGCCACGGACGTATATGCGATCGGACGTTGTTCGGTCGGACGTTAACCGGCGCATATATATATATATATATATATATATATATATATATATATATATATATATATATATATATATATATATATATATATATATATATATATATATATATATGCAAGTAAATCACAGTAGGTGCGCGTGATCCAGGTATATGCTGATAACCACAAGGAAAAAGAAAACACGAAGTTCCCAAGCGCTTTTGTGTAATTCACATCTTCAGGGGAGAGTACAGTCTGTACTCACCCTTGAAGATGTGAATTACACAAAAGCGCTTAGGAACTTCCTGTTTTCTTTTTCCTTATGGTTATCAGTATATATATATATATATATATATATATATATATATATATATATATATATATATATATATTTCATGTAAATCCACAATGAAAACGTGGATAAGATAAATCTTGATAAAATCACACGGGAAAATGGAAACAACGGAGTACCTTAGCTTTCGTCTTTATTCAAGACATCTTCAGAGGCAACTGGATTACATGGACAGAGAGAGGCTTAAATATACAGGGTGACCTAAAAACATGAGGTCAGGTCATAATGATGACATCCACTAAACCCCACACCAACACACACGTAGAGGAGCTTAAGAGAAGGGTGGTGACGTGACTAGACAGGTCAGGTCAGAAAAAAAGGGACCCACAAAATAACTATCATACATCTAGATCAAAGGTTTTCAAAGCATTTTTAACCTTGGGCCACTGACAAATAAATATATATATATATATATATATATATATATATATATA